CTCAAATATAGTCAAAATTTGTCATATATATCTAAATTTTTACAAAATAACTTAAATTAAACTATTAATAATTAACATAAAACATTTTTAAACTCTAAATTTTACATTTTAAAACTTTATATTATTTAAAATGTTACAATTAATAATAAATATTGTTAACAAAGATATTTCATCTAAATCATAAAATAATATATATATAACAGAACACAAAAAAAATATAGTTTTGCATATACATTTTTTAAAGTCGGGTACAAATCGGTTTCTATCAGGTCGGGTCTATTTGGCTCAGTTTTTTCCATGTCCTGGTCTATTCGGATCGGTTCTTTTCGGGTCCGGATCTATTCGGGTAAAATAAATTTAGACCCAAATGATATTTGTAATTTTTTGGGTCGGGTTTAGGTCGAGTATTTTTTGTTGGTTCTGGTTCGAGTTTTCGGGTCCAAGTTAAAATGCCCAGGCTTAATCTACATATTATGATTTTAAAGTAATTTTTTGTTTGAATCTATTTTTGTAGCTTTATATTATAGTAATTGAGTATAAGGGATTATTAAATTCATAGTAATGTAATTTTAAAAATCATGCTTAAATGAATGAGTCTTACTTAATCCGAAAATGTACGTAGTACGGCCTGAGCTTCATATGGTTTATTTGATAAAAGTTGGGATGATATGGTTTGTTTGATAAAAGTTTTAATAAACTGTGTATATACTTAAATAACCAGTTTTAGATTGCTATTTTATATCACGAACTAGGAAAAAAATTGTAAAGCGATTAATGTTTTACATTATCTAAATCAATAGGTTTAAAATGTATAACAAGTACCAAAGCATTCAAAAACAAATATAAAAAAATAATTCATGATTTATGTATTGAATTTCAACTGTAGTGACAAGTATTTTTATTTACTTACTTTCATAATAAAAATATAGCAAACACTAAAAATGTAAAAGATTTACATTAATGAAAAAATAAAAGCTTTTTTAGGAAGAGTAATTTGCAGAAATATCAAACCTTTGATTTCTAATAAGAACAACAGACACAATAGTAAAAATTAAAATTATTTTAGTTTAGAGTAAACTGCATATTTTTACATGTATATGAAAATACAATATATCTTTTAATTGATCTTCACTTGCTTAACAAAGATTCATATAGACAAAGATAAGTTAATAACAACATCAATTACAACAATGGATGTGGAAACAAATATTATGTATCATTTATTGATAAATGTTTCAAATTGATATCATTTGTCTTTCTGATACTATTTGTGATGTAATATGATTTTTTTTATAGTGTATGATACAAATTTCTTGTAAATGCATCCATTGTTGTAATTGATGTTGTTATTAACTTATCTTTGTCTATATGAATCTTTGTTAAGTAAGTGATCATATTATGTATCATTTATTAATAAATGTTTCAAATTGATATCATTTGTCTTTCTGATACTATTTGTGATGTAATATCATACAAATTTGTTGCAAATGCAAACTTAAAACAAAAATAACAAAACCATACGAGAAATAATAACCTAGATCACAAATAAATTATATCCCGCCCGTAGGGCGGGCCGACCCTAGTTATCTATAAATAGAACATAATTACATAATGAAGTGTGAATGGAAATAGTTGGAAGAGTGAACCACAATTGACATAAACTTATCAATTTGATAGGTGTTGTGTTGTCATTGGTTGTCAATATTTTTATAGACTTTTATCTCTTTAAATTATTAAAATTCAATTATTTTGTAGTAAACAAATTTTTATTATAAAAACCTATATCAAAATTTATGATTTTATTATCTATAAATAGAACATAATTACATAATGAAGTATTGAAACTTACTTTGACACATAATGAAGTGTGAGTGGAATAATAGTTAGAAGAGTGGACACAATTGACATACATTTATTCACTTGGTATGTGTTGTGTTTTCACTGGTTGCCATTGTTTTTGAGATTTTTTATTCATCCAAATATTCGAAACTCAACTATTTGAAACTCAACTATTTTGTAGTACACAATTATTTTATAAAAAGCTTATATCAAAATTCATGTTTTATGATCTATAAATAGAATGCAGTCAAATAATGAGTATTGGAACCTATAGTAACACATAATGAAGTGTGAGTGGGAAATAGCTAGAAGAGTGGACAATAATTGACATAGACTTGTCAATTTGGCAAGTGTTGTGTTTTCAATATCTATCAAACTTTTTTGTGATTTTTATCTTTTTAAATTATTGGAATTCAGTTATTTTGTAATAAACGATTTTTTCTTATAAAAAAAAACTTATATCAAAGTTCATGATTTTATTATCCAACTAATTAAACATAGTTACATAATGAAGAATTAGAACTTGAAAAGGATTCTCTTTTTAAAATATTGTATTTGACCTCTCTCTAAATACCAAAAGACACACCTTCTCTTTCTTCTCATTTCTTTTTTTTTTACTTTGTCAGCTCATTTTTTCCTCCCTATCCGATGTGCTCGAAGTTCTGGAGATTTCTCGACAAATTTGATAACTGATCTGACTGTGGTGAATCTTGGTATTGGTGGATGTCGACGGTTCTGGAGGGGGTTGGTGAGGCTTCGGGGTTAGTTGTAGTCAGTGGAGTCGGATTTTAGAAGCTTACTTGCGAGAGATCAGATATTTTCCCTTCTTCTCCGGACTTATTTGCTTGCAGTGGTAGTGGCGCGTGTGGTGGTTTCAGAGTTGCTTCTTCCCAGATATTTTGTTTTGATGTGCTTCATGTGTGTTTGGATCTCTCCACGCCCTCGTTCTCTCCGAGTTTGTTGAATCGCTAGGGGCTTCCGGCGTCTAAGGTCTGGAGCTCATCTTCTCCAGTGGTATCACGTCTCCGTGACCAGTGGTGCGGTCGATGTCTTAAGAGGTTGGAGAAATCCTCACATGTTTATTTATGGGGGCGAGCGTCAAGTGGTGAGGCGGAAGTCGTCTGGTCAACGCTCCTCCTTCTCTGCTCAAGCGGCATGTGTGGTGTTTGCTCATCTCTGTTTTGGCGGATCCACTTGGATTTCTACCTTTGGTGTTAATATTTTTTTCCAGGTATTTGTTCTCGACGTCTCGGAGCCGCCGTGTTCAGGTTTCGCTTCTTTCTCCCGGTACAATACTTGTCTTTCTCTCTTGTGGTGGATGAGAGCTGCTCTGATGAAGAATCAACCGTCTTACGATGTGGCTGTTAGGGTTAAAATTCCGCTCTGGTAATGTGATATTCTTTGATAAGTTTTGTGTCGTTTGTAGTAATAGATTAAGGTACAATCGTTTAAATAGGTTTGGGACTATGATTGTACCGGTTCCTTTGTATTAAAATAATAATATAAATATTATTGTTACAAAAAGTTATTGAAACTTACAGTAACACATATTGAAGTTGTGAGTGGAATAATAGTTAGAAGAGTAGATCGCATTTGACATAGACTTATCCACTTAGTAGGCGTTGTGTTTTCATCGGTTGTCAAAATATTTTAAAATTTTATCCATTGAATTATTGAAACTCACGTATTTGGTAGTACACAAATTGTTTATAACAGACTTATATCAAAATTCATAGTTTATGATCTATAAATAGAATGTAGTCACATAATCAATATTGCAACCTACAGTAATACATAATAAAGTGTGAGAGGGAGATAGTTGGAAAAGTGGATCACAATAGATATTGACTTACCCATTTGGTATATGTTGTGTTTTCAATAAGATTTTTGAGATTTTTATCCTTTCAAATTATTGAAACTCAATTATTTTATAATAAATGATTTCTTTTATAATAAAATAATATCAAATTTTATGATTATATGATCTATAGATAGAACATAATCTCATTTTATTTGGATAAATAAAAGGTCAATTATCATTAGTTTTTTTATAGTCTCCAATCAAATTTTTGTGTGTTTAAATTTCTTTTTTAGATCACAATAATAATACTAACACCCACAATTTTATTAATATTATTCTTAACTATCTAAATTTCAACAATTATCTATTTCAAAATCAATGAACTATTTTAGTATCATACTAATTAAGTTATATGTTTTTATTTATTGTGTTGAGTGCTTATATTGTATCTGAAGTTTGTAATTTTATCTGTTTTAATAATTTTAGTTATTTTTTTAAACAAGTTAAGAACATAAAAGATAAAACGACTATGTCACTTATTTAACTTACTTACAAACAAAGAATCTTATAAATATGTAGTTATAATATTATAGAAAGAATAAAAATATAAAATAACAGTAGTGAGCTAATGCAGGGGCAATGTATTCAATTTAATTAAACAAATAGAGATTTTTTTTTTTGGGGGTCAAAAAAGAAAGTTGGATGCTGAACAAATAAACAATGAGCAAATTCGAGGGTATTTGTTTAATTAAGCAAACAATTTGGCCTTATATTGCAATATATCCTTGAAAACTATTGTCATCTTCTTTGTCCCACTCTTTCTCTCTCCTCACACTTCATTACCTTCCACATCAGTCCACTTTCTTTCTCTCTCTACATTTGTCTTTTCTCTTTTCAACATTTAAAAAAAAAATAAAAAAATCTCCGTGAAGTTATTAATAAAAGAAAAAAATCTCTGTTGGTTTCAGATTTCAAGGTAGGAAGCCGAATCGTTTGGTATCTATAAACCATCTTCTTTGTTTCTCTGCCTTCTTCAACTCTGTTTTCCTCTGTTTTTTGTTTGTCTGCTTGTTTGATCATTTCCTTTTCTTCTATTCCGTACAACGCAAGCAAAATCAAATCACAGATAGTTCTGAGTCTTCTGACTGTCCGAAAAATACACATTTAGGTTTCGAACAAGGAACAAAAACGCTGATTCTGTGTTCCGGTTTGTCTGCATTTTGTTGTTACGCGTTTTGTAAACTGAGAATGTGTTTTTTTTTTTCTTTTCTTTTCTTTTCTTAGGGTTTTTAAAGTCCCAATCAAACTAAGCCCTTAAAAGATTAAGACGAAAGGTGTCGACTTTGTGGGATAATTTTTGTTTCTATGTCTTTTTTTTAGTACATTGCATTGTTCGTTCAGGCCTGTGTTCGTTATGTCGAAAAAATCAAACTAGCAAAGACTCAACCTTTTGAAAACTAGGGTTTTATCTTTGGTCTTTTGATCCTGCTGGTTCGTGTATACTTGTTACTTCTCTCATTCGCTGTTACTCTGGTGCATAGTTTTTAACTTTTTGTAATTGGTCTTATACAAAGGTTAGATTTTTATTTTAGTTGTGACATGGGTTAGTGTAGCTTTAGTACAGTTCCAACTCTTTTATTGAATTAGATTCTTGAGTTTCATTGATTTTTTTGGCTTCCCATTTCTTTTTTTTTCTGTTGTTGTTGCAGGTTGCATATATGTAAGCAAATGAGTTCTGGTCACAGCAAAATGCCTTCAGATTCGATAAAAGTAGTCCCTGGTAGGAGTAAACTACGGGTTGAATCTTCAAACCCAGTTGCTAGAGGTAATCCAATGCGTAGAACTTCAAAAGTGATGTTGATCACACCAGAAGAAGCTATGCAGCTATCATCTGGACTCAGTCAAGTGCCCACTCCTCCAGTTTCTGAATCACCAAGACCTAAGATTGCTCGTGTAACTCCTGTGTCACCAAGACCTAAGACTGCTCGTGCAACTCCTGTGTCACCAAGACCTAAGGCTGCTCGTGTAACTTTTGAGTCACCAAGACCTGTCCTGGCTGTTCAAACTCCTGAAACACCAAGACCTGTCTCAGATGTTACTGCAAGAAGTTTAGTGTGTGGTCTTCCTGCTCCGAGTATGAATACTACAACAGTGAGACGGAAAACCACACCCAAAAATTTCCATCAATCTACCGTTGACCTTCCTCCTAGTCCTCGTGCTTTGCAGATTCGTGCAAGAATTAAGCAAAAAGATGTTAATGCAACACATACTATAGAAGGTGATGTCTTTTTCTTATTATCCTAAACTTGTTTGGATAACTAAAAGACATGTGTTGCGTTTTGCTGATTTTTCTAGGGACAGTTGTAGAAGTTGGTGATAAAGCTAAAGATCATGATGCCAAGGAGACATCTCAACCAACCTCTAGTGAAAGAATCTCAGAGTTGCTTCATTACTTTCCAGCTTTGCATCCTACTTGGAAGTGAGTTACCTAACACTTTCAAATTGTCTTTTGAACTACACAAGCTACTAGCTATGCAGTCCCCTTTTGCTTGTATATGATGAACTTTTCACTTTCTACCACTGTTACCAGGGGACATATTGTAGATTCTGCCACCATGTCTGAGTTTGACTGCGAGTTTTGTGCTAAACCAGCATCCAATATCACCAGGAAGGCACTGAGACTCTCCAAGGCGATGCCTACGTTACTCGAGGTAGAACTGCTTCCAACAGGCCATATTCTGAATAATGTGTTTCACAGAACACCAAGGATATCGGATGTGGAGCTCTATCTTTTCTCAGATGAGAAGGAAACAGAAAGGTACTCAGCGAACAAGCTTCTTATAATGTCACTGTTATCAGAAAACTAATTCAACCAAGGTATGTTTCAGGTCTAAAAGGGAACATGCTCACCTGTTTGAGGCCATGTCAACTCGCAATGCCATGATCAAAGTTAATATAAATGGCACAGAGTTGCTAATATTCTCCTCGAGACTATTGGACAAGACTTCCCAGTGTATGTATATGCATTGCTCCATAATTTCTCCATGTCGTCAAGAATAACATAAGTTTTCTATGTGTTGCAGTTTTCCTCAAGAAGCAGTACAAAACAGAAAACTATCTTTGGGGTTTCTTTCTCCATAACAAAACCTCACAAGCAACTTCTTATCAACCTGACAGAGATGTTGTTGACATGGACATAGACACTGACTACCCAACCCCTAATCTAGCTCTCAAGCTAATAGCAGAATCACAAAGCATTCCCTCAAGCTCACCAGTCAACGCACCTCCTGGTTTTGAGAAACCCTCTTCAAGATCCCCCGGGAAGGTGAACAAAGAAGTTAGCCTACCTCCAGGTTTCGACAAGATATGGACACCACCGTTGGTGACACTTAACATACATGGAACTTCAAACGCTCTCTCTGGTCTAACAGGATCCGCTGGATTAGTGCGTAACGAGTCAGGGAAGTGGGTGTTTGGCTACAGCAGATGTCATAGGAACATCTCTGAACTCGCAGCTGTGCTTTTGGCCATGTACCATGGTCTTAAACTCCTCTGGGACAGCGGTTGCCGAAGAATCAGTCTTGAGACAACGAGCCTTGAGGTCATTGGTGCTCTAACAACAAAACCAGACGTGTTTTATAAGAGGAAATCGATTCTTGGATTGTGCAAGGACATGATCTTGAAGAACTGGGAGTGTGACATTTACCATGTCTCCAAAGAAGAGAACTCGTGTGCAGAATGGCTAGCTGGAAGATTAGATGGAGAGCAAATTCATGGATTGGTTTTCTTTGAGTACCCTCCTCTAGGCCTTGTGGATCTTCTGGAGAAAGACCGTCTACTTGCAGGTAGATAAGCATTTTCAGCTATTGAGTAACAGTCATAGTGATGAGCAGTTTAGATAGAGGTACATATCTTGAGAGTATTAGATGAAGATCTTTCGAGTGTTAACGTGACATCGCGTAAGTACTAGTGGAGTTCCGTTGTAATTACGCTCCTTTTGTGAATAATCGAAATTATATGTTGTAACCAAACGATGTCTACTTCTCAAAGTAACCCGTAGTCCGTAGATATGGTCGCTCGCTCGTTGTATGATTTGGTTTGGTTTTTCAGTTTTTTCAGTACCATGCTTAGTGAGTTAATGGCTCAGATGTCATTCTACAAAAAAATTAAATCATTTATAATCTCCACTAATCTTCATACCCTTCACCATTTTATGAAAATCCCAAATAAATCATTCCTAAGCGATCAAAACTAAACAAATCCCCCTATGGATCAGTGAATCCATGGGTAAATCTTTAAATTCTATATGTTTCAAATTTGAAAAAAAATATTTTACAATCGTTTTTTAATCATATTTTGATAATTTTCGGAAAAATATGAAAAACAGTTTTTTGATTTTTGAAATATTTTTATCAAATTCTATAAATCAAATAAAAAATATTGACTTTCCAGTTTAGTTTTATGATTTTTCGTTTGATATATAAAATTAAAATAAAAAAGTGGGGACATTTGAGCAATACGAAACAGATGCAGGGGCTATACAGTCGTTTTCTCCTTGTAAGTTTTATTAGGATTTTACTAATTTTGGTTTCGTTTCTCTTAGATTTGGATTTGCAGATTATAACTAATGTTTGAAATCGCTCAAAAATATCTTTTATTATTGTTTTAAAAATTAACAAAATATTTTAAGTATATAAATTATTCAAAAATTGAATTAAAAATTAGTCTAACTATCTAAATTAACTAAAATTATTCAAAATAAAAAAGTAAACAAATTACAAAAGTCTTTAAAATTTAAAATATACTAAAATATTTAAATTGCCTTAATATATATATGCATATAAATGTTAATATATTTAATTAGTTTTGGATATTTTTGAATCCTAGTTTGAATTTCAGTTCGTATTGAATCTAAAATACTAAACTCTTAAATTCTATTCAGATACTTTTATATATCGGCTCAGAGATTTAGGTTTTTATAGTTAGGTTAAGATTAGAGTTGAGCCTTTTGGTATGGGATGAAAAGAATATATTTATTGGAAGCTATTAAAATAAAAAATTTAATTTATGATTTGACATTTTTTTATTTTTTTAAATATTTTTTTGGTTACAAACCAATTTTTATATTTTTTATTTAAGAGTTTGTTCTTATTTCTTTTATTAAGAGCCTAAACATTTTTTAGTTAAAAATTTAGAAATGTCTCATCGGAAGATTAAAATCTCGAAATATACATTGACTGGCTGTGGTTGGTTAATAAGCCAATGTTTCTCACTTTCCCTCCAAAGAAGTTCCAAAATCAAAATGGTCTTAAGAAAAAGTGAAGTCAGAAGTAGGGTTAAAAACGAAAAAATAAAGGTAAATAAAATTGAAAAGCCAAAGTTACTTTGAGTCTCCGTTAGACTTCGGAGTTCTCGTTGACCCTTCACATTCGGAGAGACTGTCCCATCTCCACCGGAGATGGCAATGGCCGGCGAATCTTCTAACAACAACTACAGAGACTTTGACAAGAAGAGTCATCGAAAGGTGGGTCTTGTATACGACGAGACAATGTGCAAACACGACACACCTAACGGCGAGGATCACCCAGAGTGTCCTGATCGCATCAGAGTCATCTGGGAGAAGCTCCAACTCGCTGGAATCTCTCAAAGGTTCAAACTTTATTCTTTATTGTGTAGCTTTGTTTGTGTGTGTGTGTGTTTTGGTGATATAACCCTAAAATTTAAGCTGTTGGAATTTGAATTATAATCAAATGGTATGTATTGTTGCTGAAAGAGATTATATTTTTACTTGTAACTCTTCATAAAGTGTTTACCTTTTGATTTGGGTTTGAGACTTTCTTGTGTGGCTTTGTTTGTGTGTGTGTTTTGGCAATAAAGTCCTAAACTTTTTAGCTGTTGGAATTTGAATTATAATCAAATGGTTTGTTATGCTGCTGAAAGAGATTATCTTTTTTACTTGTAACTCTTCATAAAGTGTTTACCTTTTGATTTGGGTTTGAGTCTTTCTTGTGTGGCTTTGTTTGTGTGTGTGTTTTGGCAATAAAGTCCTAAACTTTTTAGCTGTTGGAATTTGAATTATAATCAAATGGTTTGTTATGCTGCTGAAAGAGATTATCTTTTGATTACTTGTAACTCTTCATAAAGTGTTTACCTTTTGATTTGGGTTTGAGTCTTTCTTGTGTGGCTTTGTTTGTGTGTGTGTTTTGGCAATAAAGTCCTAAACTTTTTAGCTGTTGGAATTTGAATTATAATCAAATGGTTTGTTATGCTGCTGAAAGAGATTATCTTTTTACTTGAAACTCTTCATAAAGTGTCTACCTTTTGATTTGGGTTTGAGTCTTTCCTTTTTTTGCAGATGTGTGGTTCTTGGTAGTAGCAAAGCTGAAGATAAGCATCTGGAACTGGTTCACTCAAAGGACCATGTTAGTTTAGTTAAGAGTTTAAGCACGAAGAAGAAAGATTTTAGGAGAAACAGGATTGCTTCACAGTGGAATTCAATATATTTGAATGGAAGTTCATCTGAAGCTGCGTATCTTGCAGCTGGATCTGTTGTACAGGTAATAATAATACTATTTTGCATATTTCACATAGAGAAACTGTTGGAATAGTGTAACAATATGTTCTTGCAATGTTAACAGTTGGCGGAGAAAGTTGCAGAAGGAGAGTTAGATTGTGGTTATGCTATTGTTAGGCCACCAGGGCACCATGCTGAGCCAGATGAAGCTATGGGTTTCTGTTTGTTTAACAATGTAGCAGTCGCTGCTAGTTATTTACTAGATGAAAGAGTAAGGAACTTAAGGAGTTCTAGATATGATTTTCTGTTGGTGTGCATGCTCTAAAGCTCCTTTTGGTTTTCCTTGAATGCAGCCTGAACTAGATGTTAAGAAGATTCTGATTGTTGATTGGGATGTCCATCATGGAAATGGTACTCAGAAGATGTTCTGGAGAGATCCTCGTGTATTGTTTTTCTCTGTCCACAGGTATGTTGTAATGCTGCTTGTCATGATTTAAGGAGCCAGTGTTCTACTCTTCTTTCAAAAGTACTTGGAACGTTACTGAAATGTGGCTAGGCACGAGCACGGAGGCTTCTATCCAGCTGGTGATGATGGATATTATAACATGGTTGGGGAAGGTCCAGGTGAAGGATTTAACATAAACGTTCCATGGGAACAAGCAAGGTGTGGAGATGCAGATTATCTTGCCGCATGGGACCATATCTTGATTCCTGTGGCCAGGGAATTTAATCCTGATATTATCTTGTTATCAGCTGGATTTGATGCAGGTATATCATTTATGGTTTAAGCATTTTGTAAGGATAAGAAGTGTGTAACCGTTTCAGTTTCTTCTTAACAGCTATTGGGGATCCACTGGGAGGTTGTCGTGTTACACCATATGGTTATTCAGTTATGTTGAAGAAGGTTGGTGTTGATTGTTTTTGGTTGGTTTGGTTAGCCCTGAGCTACATAATCTATAAGTGAATTCCACCTCAAACAATGTTCTTGCAGTTGATGGAGTTTGCACAAGGGAAGATTGTGTTGGCGTTAGAAGGAGGGTACAATCTTGACTCAATTGCAAAGTCTTCATTGGCATGTGTCCAAGTTTTGCTTGAAGACAAACCAATTCAAGGCTCTTCTGAAGCATACCCATTCGAGTCTACGTGGCGTGTAATACAAGCGGTATTGGCTCTGTATCCTCCTATCTTTTAACTTTTGCATTTCACAATCTGAAAGTTTCTGGTGGGTTTAGGTACGCAAGAGGCTGTGTGCATATTGGCCTTCACTTGCAGATGAATTATCATCTAAGCTTATTGACCTGAAAACTCCTACTCCAGTTATGCACCTTCCTTGCCTCTTTGCTAACTTACTCTGCTTGATCTTCTTTTCTTCTAGCCAGTCTCTGAATCTCTTCTCACAAACTTGCTTCTGTTTGTTTCATTCTAGATCATCGTTGTCTCAAGCTCAGACTCTGAAACTGAAGACTACGCTGATGATATCCTGGATCAAATGTCGAGACTCAACATTGAAAACCACCAAGTAGATGATGATACAGCTTCTACATCTTGGAGAAGAGATCTCTCAAAGGTTGACGTTTGGTATGCATCTTTTGGATCCAACATGTGGAAACCAAGGTTCCTTTGCTACATTCAAGGGGGACAAGTAAGTAACGTTGTTTTGTTCTATTCTAGTCTGAGCTTCGGTTTTAATTGAGACATCTATGTTTTAATTTTCAGGTAGAGGGAATGAAAAAGGTCTGCGTTGGTTCAATGGATAAAACTCCACCAAAGGAAATAACGTGGGAATCATTTCCACACAGATTATTCTTTGGCCGTGAATCTTCAGTTACTTGGGGTGTAGGAGGAGTTGCTTTCATCAATCCCCTAACTGATCTCAATGATCAAACTCACATGTGTTTGTACAAAATCACGTTAAGTGTACCTTTCTTATCTAAGTTTATGTCTTCACTTTCATCCCCTGGTCTTTTCTGCCTTACTCCGTTGTTGTTTTTTTTACTTGGAACAGGCTTGAGCAGTTCAACGATGTTCTGTTTCAAGAAAATGGCTTGACAGTAGATTCGGAATCTCCACTCTTTGATCTAGATACTCTGCAGTTAGTAGAGAAGAAAGAATCCATTCCACTTGCTTCGGTTAGTCAGACAACAAAATGTTTGATAAGTAATTTAATCACACTTACATTTCTGTATGGACATTGTTTTACAGGGTGGTTGGTATGGAAACGTTGTCTGCTTGGGGAAAGAAGGCGACATCCCTATACTTACAATGACGTAAGCCTTCCTTTGTTTGCTCTCTTCCAACGTTATTGTTTTCTTATAATTTTTTTTGTCGTTTGCAGTTGCACACTGTCTGCTGTTGAGAAGTTTAAATCAGGTGAGGTCCCTTTAAGACCTCCTGCAGAAGCCTATGCCAACACTTTGGTAAGGGGACTTGTTGAAGGAGGAAGATTATCTGAAGAAGAAGCTAAGGCTTACATAGACAATGCTTCATCTAAACCTCTCTAGACTATTTGAAGCTTCTGGTTTCTGAGTTATTCGTTTACTATTAAAACCACAGGTTAAGAAAGATTGTGTCTTCTTTGTAGTGTGTGCTATTTGTTATGCGTTTGAGTTTGCATAGGAGCAAACTATGTATGTATTTTGGTTATCTTCGGTCTAGCTATTATGGTTCTGTAACCACCGGTTATGTAATACCAGTTTCAGAATAACTTTTATTCTGGAAATTTGGTGTATGTATTAATATGGTGAATTGGTTTCAAAATCAATATTATTAAAACAGAAAACCTAACTTTTGTTTTGTAATTTTTAAATTAAATATATATTCATATTTTATAGTTAAATTTACATTAAATCACTAATATTTCTTTCTTTTTACTACTATTAATATTTCCAAACAATACATTCATTTCTTTATATTACTATCAATATTTTCAAACAACACTATAATTAATCTTGTGTCTAAACAATGCAAAATATTAATTCTCATCTTTTTTAATAATTTCCAACAAGTTTATTTGAAATTATTTAGAAATAATTAAAAAACTCAAATAATTAATAGCATACCAAAAAATAAATAGGACTTAATTTTACATGTTAAATATTATATATCGGTTATCCATCGATTCAATCGGTTTGTTTCGGTGTTTAGTAACTTTTTAAATATAAATATTTTTAAAAGTTAAATTGAATTATCGGATCACTGGATTAACCAGTTAAACGGCGAGTTCAAATCGAATTCAAAAACATTGATCTAAATATAAAAATATTTTATATATACCATTTTTCAAATTAACTAAATCTTTGTTAATTATTAGTGAAATTTTCATCATAAAATATTGCAAGTGCGGATCAAAATCTAATAACTATTGGTTATTGAACAAATTAATATAAGATTAATCTTTGATATAAATTTATGATCATTATATTTTGGTCTGTTTGTGCCAAAAAAAAAAAAATTGGTCTGATAGAAAGATAATGACCTTACAGACTTCTCCCACTTACTTGCCGTAACGTATTTTGTGAAGAAGATAATAAATAAAAGACAGAGAGCTTTGTACGTTGTGTCTTTGTGTTTGGCAGATTCCATTTTCCGACAAAGATCCTCCACCTTCTCCGATTCTCTTATCCTTTCTTTCAGCTCCTCCCTTAGTTTCATCCATCATATCTTAGAAGCTACAAACAGCCAAAAGGTCTCTCCTTTTTTTTTTTTATCTCTGACGGAGAAATCAAAGTGTGATGGTTTCTAAGTTTCTCCACTTGACTCTGCTTTGTTCTTGACTTTTTTGGATATAAAGGTCTGAGCTTTCGATTTGATATTGGAGTTTTGTTCTTATGGAAGATGTTAATTTGCACTTTGAATTGGAATAAAGAAAGAGAGTTCCTTTGAGAGAGAGGAAGAAAAATGGATATATGGTTACTTGCAGCTACAGCTGCTACAGGTTATATAGCTAAGCAGCTTCAGAATGTTACCAAAGGTAAATGTAACTTTCTTGAATCTTCTTCTGAAGAGAATGTGAAGCAAGAAGAAGAATCTCCTTGTAGATCTCTGCTTAGTAGATTGGCGAGAGTCAAGAAACCGGATGAAAACAAGTTTGAGGATGAGAAAATGGTACCATCAACGAGTGGGGAGAGTTCAGGCAACTATGAAGATTCTTTGTTTGGTTTGCTGCCTGAGTTTCCGGAGATTGGATATGGATATTGGAAAACTATTTGTGTTCTTGGGGGTGAAAGAGAGTTGAGTTCTTCTTTTAAGCAGAGAAGATTGGTTAAAAGGAATCAGCGGTATAGACGGTTAAATAAGCCTTTGAGTTCTATGGAAAGCTGTTTAATGTCTCGGTTTCATGGTGAGCAAATGACTATGATGGAAGATTACTTGACTAGCCCGTTTCCATCTCCACGCGCTTTAGTTTCTAGGCCGTTGCTTGTGACTGATGGGGCTCGAGTTATTAGCAAGAGCACAGCAGATTCTTTGTGGATGAGCCAACAACAACTTACTCTCAATGAAGATAGAAATGAGAAGAGTAAGAATAGAAAACAAGGTAAAGTTCTTACAATCTTTAGATTGTGTCAGTTGTTTATAAAGTTCTTACTACACATGACATTTCAAGCTTCTTTTTTGTGGTTTTCAGGACTAAGTGATGCAACGGGGCTGCTACAAATAGGGATCTGTATTGGCATAATGGCATCGTTCATGGCACGGCAAGCCAAACAAGAGTTGAAGGAGAGAGAGAATGTGGTGCATGATGTAGGAGATGAGCTTGAGATGAAAGACTCGTTGACTGTGAAGGAGGTATATATTGAGAAGGCAGGTGAGAATTCAGAATCTATAAGTAATATTGAAGCAGAGCTTGAAGCTGAACTTGAAAGGCTAGAAATCAACATGAACACCTCCAACATGGTTGAGGTCTGTTGTCTACTCTATTCAAACTATGCTCTGCCTTTGCCTTGTCTGAACAACTAAACTCAAACAAGATGTTCAAAGTTTGATTTTATAAGTTCTGTTGCAGATGGAGCCGGATTTTGAGGTGGAATTTGCACAAGGTGAGCTGATTGCTGATCAGGTTAAAGGTAAGCGTGTAGATGAAACCGAGTCAAACCAAGATCCAAGTGGTAACTCCACACCTGAGTCAGGAAACTTTGCTGTCTCACCTCGCGAGTTGAGCTTGCGGTTGCATAAAGTTATCAACTCACGTCTTGAGAAAAGGATTACAGAGCTCGAGACTGCACTGCAAGAGAGTCAAAGGAAGGTGGAACAGATGGTCATGGAATCAGAAAGCAAGAAGAGTTCATGGTCCAGAGTATGGGAAACCCAAACATATAAGAGTGACTCGAAAACTACAGTTGCTATAGAGCACACCAAGACTAGTCATACTGAATTGCAGCCCCTGGTTATGAACTTAACAGGTGAAGCACTTGATGCATTCAATGAGTCTTATGATGAGTTGATGAACATAAACGATGACTCTGAAGATGATGAGTCACCAGTTGAGATGCAAGAGAGTGAGCTTCATCATGAAGGTTTATCTTCGACCTCGCCTTGGAGCCATCATCAGGAAGATTCCAAGGTTCAGGAGCAGGATCTGCTAGATTTTATTGATTTGGATAAACAAGATGAAGAAAACAGCGACTTTGAGAGTGAAATGGAGAAGCAACTGATAAAGCAGATTGTTGAGAAGACAAAACAAGGGTCTCCTGTTGTGTTGAATGCTCAGAAGATGCTGTTTCTCATGGAAGAAGCAGAACAAAATTTTGAAAATTAGGCCATATATATAGTCAAAGTCTGATCTGATGTAGTAACACAAACAAAGCTGAAAGCCTGAAACAAATTTATTTTCAATGTATACCAATCTCAAGCTGCAAATTTATTTTCAAAATAGCAAAACCATTCTAGATAAAAAGCTATAAAATATGAAAAGACAAGTTCTGACAACATTTGTTGCAAGTAGCTTCAAGCTCTTTTGGCAACATCAGTGCCATCTTCGAAATCTCCCACAGGTCCATTCTCCATCTCAGGTTTCTCCATGCTTCCAAACTGAGCCTCACCGGCAACACCAAACTGAGCATTGTCACCATTGAACTGAGAGCTGTTGCCAACAGGGTTTCCTCCAGACTGGTTGTCTCCGGCGAATCCACCATTGTTGTTACCGTAAGTATTGCCAGTAGCATAACCACCACTTCCATTATAGCCACCCACAGCGCCTGCACCTGCAGTGGAACCCTCACCATAACCGCTGCCGCTAGATCCATAGCCACCACTTGCACCATATCCACCACCTCCATAACCACCAGCAGCAGCACCACCTTCATAGCCAGCAGCACCACCTCCATAACCACCAGCAGTAGCACCGCCTCCATATCCTCCAGTAGCACCACCTTCATAGCCAGAAGCACCACCTCCATAGCCACCAGCACCGCCTCCATATCCACCAGTACCTCCTCCATAGCCACCGCCACCACTACCATAGCCACCACCACCATAGCCACCACCTCCATAGCCGCCACCACCACCCCCATAGCCGCCACCACCACCCCCATAGCCGCCACCACCAAATCCGCCGCCACTTGTTCTATCATGTGCATAATTCACTTTAACAATCCGTCCATGGAGATCCTGAGGAGAATCAATGCATCATATCAGAGAGGGAAAGGTTCTTTGTTCAAACCAACATCTTTCTCAGAGGAGAAGATAGTGAATACTTCGACGACAACTAATGAAATTTAACCCAACAACAAGACACCTAAAAACTCACAGAAGATTCAAAGATCAGCACACAGAAATTACCTGACCATCCAAAGCCTGGATAGCACTAGAAGCAGCCTCCGTAGAGGTGAAAGTAACAAATCCAAATCCTCTCGACCTACCAGTTTCACGATCCAAAATAACCCTAGCTGTACATATTAAAAAAAAAACAAACACAAACTTAGCAAAACACAACTTATACAAAAACCATTACAAACAAAAACAGATCAGCTACTTACTTTCAACGACTTCACCGTACTTGCTGAAAGCTTCTCTTAAGCTATCCTCATTCATCCCATACTCAATACCTTACAATACCAACAAAAACAAAAACGTAAAGTTAGCAAAAACATATTAAAAAAAAACAACAAGTAAACACTTAGAGATAAACTCACCTCCAATAAAGAGCTTAGAAGATGACATGCACCTTATCGCCTGAAAAAGCGAAGGGCTTGACGAAGCATTGAGTTGCTTGCTCTGTTTTAATATGTTTCCGAATTTACTCAGAAAAGCCATCGCCTTTAGATACCTAACACACACAGGAAAAAAAATTAGGCCTTTTAAATTCCTTACTTTGATGAACCAAAAACAGTAAATTGACAAAATCAAAACACAAAGCAAATGTTTTGTCGGGAAAAAAAAACGAAATCAGAAGCGAACATCGGAATCAAAACACAAAGCAGATGTTTTGTCGGAAAAAAAAAACGTAATCAAAAACGAACATCGGAATCAAAATCTATGAAAATGAAAAGTAAAGCAAGGATAAGATCATTGACCGAGAGATAACTCAAATCTAAGAGGAGGGAACAGCTACAGAGAATCGAAAGATTGTAACTTTAAGGGGTTTATGAGAAAGAAATGAGGGTAACGAGTAAGTACCTCTCTATTACAATCCGCTTCCTCTGTGATTCTTCGCTTCTGGTAAAACCCTACTTGTTTGTGTTCGAGGAAGGGTTTATGTAGCGAAGTTGCAAATCTAAGTGAATCTTGACCGTCGAAAATAAAGTTATTAAAATTAAACAGATCTGAAGAAAAATATTTAAAACACGTGGGTGGTTTTCAGTGGTTCGTTATTTACTTTGTGTGACAGTCGAATAGCTATAACGACCATGGTTCCAACTCGAAATTAGCTGAAACGATTTGCTCAACATCCAATTTATATGACATGCATTTTATCCATTATATATGATTCGATCCAGAAAATTAAGATATCTATAAATTATCGAAGCAAATTAAATACTAAAAGTTCATATCCGTTAAAAACGAATAAAATTACAAATATTAAAAACAATTAGAGCTGGATATTCAATCCGATTTTTATACAAATATATGTATATATATAGTCACATATAGAATTTTAAATGTATAATTTTATATAATTTTTCTTTTAGCATATAAATTTATTAATTTCATTTATAAAGTTACTTAGAAATGTATTAAATTAAGAAACATGATATCAATTTTTTTGTGAAGATTACAATTTTCATAAAATTTATGTTTCATTAATTATTTTTAAAAAATTATAGAACATAGTATCTCACTAATTTTTAGTTTTGTGCTATATTATGTATAAATAATTTTGAAACAAATTTGTATTATTTTTTAGATTTATTTATATTAAACAAAATGCATGAGATATCCGTAAATATCTGAAATTTGTTCGGATCTCCGTATTTTTTTCAAAGCAAAACAAATCAGAAAATCAGATATCCGTAAAATACAAATCATAATAAAAATTGTGGTATTATTCGATCAGCCTCCACCCCTACTCAGAGAAACCAGCAGCCAATATCAGTACAATCTTTTTAGCTAAACAATAATATTAGTACACAATTTGACTAATCGATAGCCATATACAAAGGGCTTAGTTACAAACGATCAACTTTTAATTATTGCAAATGAAATTAAATCTCCAGAGACAAGAGTATATTACATGTTTCACAAAATCACTGAATTAAGTAAAAAAAATATACAAAAGATGAAAAAGAACAAAGCTCGAGTCAATAAACAGGCTCGAGACATCATCATCATCTCTTACTACGAGAGCTGCGCAATGATCTTGGAGAAGGCAAACACTCAAACAGATCAAGAAGCAAACTCTCGATATCTTCACAACTGTATCTTATGTATTTCTCACCTATACGAGTTGCGTGTCTTCCAAGAAACCCTCTATAAGACTGAACAACCTTGACAGAGGTCGAGATGTGAAGATCATCACGCAGCTCCGGATCAGGAACCGACCAACGTGTTTGGTTCTTGTAAACATCATCAAACGCAAGACAGAAGAGTCTGCATCTCTCTCTTACAGTTGCTACAGAGTCTTTGTTGTTGTCTTTAAGCAAAGAGAGGACAGAGCTCCAAGTGGTTCTCTCGTAGTCTGTGACGTTGTGTTGGTAACTTGCTATGTGTTTCCTGATCCATTCGTCTCCGAAGAAGTGTTTCAGCTCCGATGTCTTCACCTTCTGGACCATGTAGTGATAGTTATTCATCAAGAAGATGTACTTGAGTGACTCGTCTGCGTAGAGCTGAGCTTTGCGTTCTAGGGTTGATTCTAGAGTTGTGACGATTGACCTGAGATGTCTAGCCATGGGAGAGAACGTGGAAGGAAGGATGTCTTGTCCTGTTTTCTCCGGGATTGTGTCATCAACTTGTAGATTCTCAAGGAGTGTGTTTAGAGCATCCTTGTACTCAGGGAGAAGCTTCAAGTAATTCATTACATACCTGGTCAAATGATGTATCGACCCTCCAGGGAAGGCACGTATGGATTCATCAGAGGCTATTGCGTTTTTGAACTTCAAGAACGTCGTAATTGTACAATCAGCTAGCTTCTTAGACAGCTCGTGGAACGCTACTCCTGATTCATGAGGGAAGAGGTTATCAACTTCCAAGAGAATCTCTGCTGAAACTTCATACATGCTGAGGAACCGTTCAAGCATCTCTGGCTGGCAAGATCTCAGCGCAACAGCTTCACCAAAGCTGAGGAGAGATAGAATTGTATCTTTTGAGATCTCAACGAAACAAACGGTGAAACTCGGCTCAAACTCTCCCAAGATCTTGTCACAGAGATGTTTTTCTCTGACAAGATAGACCTGAGTAACGATCTTTAACACCTTTGACCATTTTCTCATCTCACCATTCAAATCCTCCCATTGCATTCCAAGAACATCTCCACAGCTGAACCTCTCCACCTCGAGAGTGGCCATATACTCATTTAAAGCGTCTCTTCTAACGCTGATGAAAGCTTCACGGAATGGTTGATCATAGCCGCAAGCAAGCATTGCCTTTGCAATAGCCTTGATGTGAGGAACGACCAGGAGATCGACTAACTCACCGTTGTTGGATCCCAATATTTGCTGGTCATCTTCCTGTGAAGTAGCTTCAACAACAACTTCATCATCTAGAGAGACAAAGGACTCATCATAAACAATATCCTTTCCACGGGAACTAACCGCCAAGTACCGAGGCTGCACATGGTGCTTGTACTGATTCAGGACATCACTAAGCTCTTTCTCAAGCCTCAACATCCCGATGTCAAGAACAACAGAAGCTTGGTTGTAAACATCTTTCTCCTTCTTGCTACTTTTGCTAGGCAAAGCTTTGAAACTCGTGAGAACTGTTTGAACATCGTGGAGAGATTTGAAGAAGAGATCAGCTTCACAGAGACCAGCATCCAATATCAAAGACTGGTTCTGTTCCCAGGCGAGGATAATCTTCTTAGCTTCTTTGAATCTCTCCTTGATCTCAGAGAATCCTGTATCTTTAACGAGTTTGGTATCAACGTTCCCAAGCGTTGACAAATGAGTGTCTAAGTCACTTAGAAGCTTTGTCAAGTTGGCGTCGAGGTTGTTATCAGATGCCCTTAGTGCGTTGACAACATGGCGACATGCCTCTAAGACATGGCTTTTAACTCCGGAAACAGGAAGCGTGGATCCAAACTCTGACATATCCAAAACAAAGACTAGAAACTAAACTCAAAGGTTGTGTGAAAGGACAAAGGGAAGAAGGGAAGCAGAGTATAAGACTAACGTAGACTAATGGAAACTGTTTGATCAATCCTTAAAGATGGTAGAACACTAAAAGGGTTGTTTTGTAATGACTAGATAAAGCTTAATCCCTTTGGACAAGACCCGGGATGAAGTAAACAGAGAGGAAGAGGAATCCCCACATGAACATGGTCTCAAAACCATAAACTAAACAAGCTTAACCCTCTTGACATACTTAAGGATCAGTGAAGCCCTCTTCAAATCCAACATTTTTTTAACTAAACCTCCTCACAAGACCATTCTATCTATCTCTGAAGAAACAGAGTCCCTACAATCCCGCGAAGAAAAAGTCAAAGTCAACACCTTCCTGTTAAAAAAAAATCGAAACTTTTAGTAAATTCAGACAAAAAAAAAAATCAAAGCTTTATATGCTCTATGATCTCACAGAAACATTTCATCAAACAGTTGGTGATCGAACGTACCGTGATAAGAAAAACAAAACTTAAAAAAAAAAATAAGCTTTTGATTTTGATTTTGATTTGTGTATCAATCAAAGAACAATTTGTTGAAGTAAAGACCGTAAGAGGAAGAAGATCATGCAGAAGAGGAAGCAAAAAGGAAAAAAAGGTTGTGTGTGTGTAAGCATGTGTGTATAAGGAAGTTGAGAAATGGAATTTAGTAATAAGGAGGGAAAGAGAAGTGGTAATTTCGCAGTGATGGTGACTTTATGGCCGGCTGGCTTTCCCATATATCTAATTAAGATTTGATTCGGCCATTGACTTCTTCCCTCCACCACATGACCCAGCCAAATTAACACAAATTTGGGGATAGATATACAAGTTCCAAATTTCGAAAATAGTCCTACTTATTCTCGCTATTTACTTATTATAGCCCATTACTTTTTTTACTTAAACTTGCCCCGTTTGTCTACAAATGTACCTTTCCGTTTCAATTTACTTATTATTATAGAGTAAAATTTTCGTTTTAAAATAAATGTCGTTTTATAATTTTATTGTAAAATTTATTAACTTTATAAGTTATTATTTTTCTATTGGTTAAAAAGTGGTAAAGTATATAGTTAATTGTGTGTTTTTTTTTTGGAAATATGTAAAACTATATCTTTTTTTAATCTGTGTGCAAACATCTAAAATATCTAAAATGACAATTAAAGTGAAACGAAGTGTATATTATGTATAGTTTATTTTCAGTTATATTTTTGTTGATCTACTTAATCATGGTTTTGATTTAAATTTTTTTAACCAACAACATGATTTATAATTAGTTTTATTCAATATAATATTTTGTATTGTTGAAGATCTGTTCATTTGAAATTATATTGTTATAAAAAAGTCTGATATTTCAAAAAATAAAAGTTTTAATATTGTATTAAATTTAATTTTCTCATTAATATATGATTAAATATATTTAACAGTTTATTATATAACAGATCATTTTAATATTTTTTGTTAGATTTTATGTTTAAACCGGAACATCGTATATTTGGCACAAGCATTATTCACTGGTTGGATTCTGAAATCTGATTCTTTCGGATATATAGTATGGTTGTTTTGTTTTTCCAGAAGTAGAAAAATCGGTTTTCATTCCCCACATATTAATGGGTTTCTTAGATCAATTGAATACATGTAAGAACATTTTTATAGGTGTTAGAAAAACAAGGAAATAATATAAATTTCTTCTTTTCCCGGGAATTAGTTATTGCGCGCTAATAATAGTCGTTAGTCAGCAATCCTTAAAGTTTGACTGGCTCACAAAAAACTGTTACATGTATTGCTCTGAACTGTCCGATGCTATATGTACTCAACGGCTGAAACGAGTAGTTGACAGCTCATACTAGGACTTAGCCTGATTTCCAAAGTCAATCCTATATTTATCCCAAATTAAAATACATACACGTCTAAAACCTTCTGCGTCGTTCCAAAGGTTACAGCACTCGAAGAGGCGCCAAAAATCTGTAGCGTTTTTAGAAGGAAATAATTCGCGGGGGATGTATAATTAATTAAAATTGAATAGCTCCCGCTCAACTCTCCCCCGTTACAAAAACCCCTTTGCTCTCCCCTCTCTTAAGCTATCCATCCACAAATCGAAACGTTTCAATCGAGAGAGAAGAAAAAAATGCAAACTTCAGTGACCCCAGATGCTATCTCCGCCGTACTATCAAACCCATCTTTCGATTCGTCCTCTTCGGATCGATCTGAGATCGTCGTTCAAGTCGTTGATCTTAAACCTATCGGAAATCGATACACGTAAGTCTCGTAGATTTGGGTGTGATTGCATTTTATAGATCTGGGTTTTTGAAAAGAGCTTTCCTTTTGTAGATTAGGGTTTAGGGTTTTGATTTGATTGGTTGCTTATATGTTCTGGTTATTGGGTTTTTACAGATTTAATGCGAATGATGGGAAGATGAAGGTTAAAGCTATGTTTACAGCTTCGTTAACACCTGAGATCATTTCTGGGAAGATTCAGAATCTGGGCTTGATTCGTCTCGTTGATTTCACTGTTAACGACATTTCAAGCAAATCAACCAAGTAAATAAACTTATTACAGTGAAAACTCTATAAATTAATGATGGCGGGACTACACCAAAATTTTATTTTTTATTAATTTAAAGAGATTAATTTATAGATATATTAATTGAATCAAAAAGTCATTTTGGGACTATAAAATTATATTAATTTATAAAGATATTTAGTGTATATTAATTTATAAAGATATTAATTTATAGAAGTTATACTGTACATGAAAAAATAACGTTTCTTTTTACTGATTATTGAAATAAAAGCAGATGGTAACATATGAGTGAACCTTGCAGATACTTCCTTGTGACAAAATGTGAGTCTGTTGGTTCAGCGCTTGATTCTGAGATTAACTCGGAGAGTAAGAGTGAAGAGGAGGCTGGTGAGGCCAAGAGGCAGAAACTAGATCACTCCTCTCCTGTGGGTGGTGTTGTTTCCACTGGAATCACTTTGAATCCAAAGCAGGAGTTTGTTGCAAAATCAGCTTCTCAGATAATCAGTGAGCAGAGGGGGAAGTAAGTAAACTCTCTTTATGTCTTTTAAGATGTTAAAAATTGATTATGAGTTTGTGCTTAATTACTTTTTGGTTTTTGTACAGTGCTGCACCAGCTGCAAGAATGTCCATGACTAGAAGAGTTCAACCACTTGTGTCCTTGAATCCTTATCAAGGAAGCTGGACCATCAAGGTCCGAGTCACTAACAAGGGAGTCATGAAAACTTACAGAAACGCTAAGGGAGAAGGATGTGTCTTCAATGTTGAACTAACTGACGAAGAAGTAAGAAAGCTTCAACTTTCTTCAGCTCTCAAATTGGCTATAGGCTTTATCTGTGGTGTGGTTATTCACTTTGTGGTGTATTTCAGGGAACACAAATTCAAGCCGCGATGTTTAATGATGCTGCACGGAAGTTTTATGACAGGTTCCAATTGGGAAAGGTCTATTATATATCAAGGGGATCACTTAAACTTGCTAACAAGCAGTTTAAGACGGTTGAGAATGATTATGAATTGACACTGAATGAAAATTCAGAGGTGGAAGAAGCTAGTAACGAGGAAACGTTTGTTCCTGAGACAAAGTTCAACTTTGTACCTATTGAAGAGTTGGGTATGTATGTGAATCAGAGGGAACTTGTAGGTAAGATCCATTTATTTCATTCTCCATTTATCTTGCTGGTAACTTAGTACACTGGTTTAGGATGATAACAACTTTAAGTTTTGGTGCTGTTTCCAGATCTTATTGGAGTTGTTCAAAGTGTTTCTCCTACCATGAGTATTAGAAGGAGAACTGACAATGAGATGATACCCAAGAGGGATATTACTTTGGCTGATGAGTCGAAGAAAACTGTTGTGGTATCACTGTGGAACAACTTGGCAACTGGCATAGGTCAGGAACTGTTAGACATGGCTGATAAGTCTCCTGTGATTGCAATCAAGTCTCTCAAAGTTGGAGACTTTCAAGGTAATCGTTGGTTTGCTATGATTGAACAATTTGTGTAAATCACACTTCTCTTACAGACTTCTTTGCTGATCTTCTGATCTCTCTTCAGGTGTTTCGTTGTCTACCATCAGCAGAAGCAATGTAGTGATAAATCCTGAATCACCAGAAGCTAAAAAGTTGAAATCTTGGTAAATCTTTTGAGTTGAGTCAATTGAATTTTTTTTAACTGATGTAAATGTATGTTCTGATTTAGTTAGCTTTTTCTTTAATTTTTGCAGGTATGCCTCTGAGGGCAAGGAAGCATCCATGTCTTCCATTGGCTCAGGGATGACCCCATCTACCAAGAATGGATCTTGGTCTATGTATACTGATCGAGTCCCTCTCTCTCAAATCACAAGCAACCCTTCTCTAGGAGAGGAAAAGGTACTAAAACATTGAAGTCAATCCTCAACCAATATTGCTTAACTAAAGTGTTGCATACTTATTATGAATTTGGATTTTTCTGTTGCAGCCTGTGTTTTTCACCACAAGGGGTTACATAAGCTTCATCAAACCTGACCAGACGATGTGGTATCAAGGTTGTAAGACTTGTAACAAGAAAGTGACTGAAGCAATGGACTCTGGTTACTGGTGTGAAGGTTGCCAGAAAAAAGATGAAGAATGCAGATTAAGGTTAGAAACTCACATTCATAACTTGGTAAGAGTTGCAACATTGTCTTCCCCTTCAGACAACTTAGTTTTGTTTACTTTGGTTGTCGTCAGGTACATAATGGTGGTGAAAGTCTCTGACTCAACAGGAGAAGCTTGGTTTTCCTCATTCAACGAGGAAGCAGAGAAAATTATTGGGTGTTCAGCTGATGAGCTCAACAAACTAAGATCAGAGGTAAGGAGATAAACCCTAGATATCTGTCAACTTAGAACCATATTGAACATTCCAATCTCATGTATAATTTTTTTTTTTTCCAGGGAGGTGATGTAAATGAATTTCAGACAAAGCTGAAGGAAGCAACATGGTCCTCTCATGTCTTCAGGATCAGTGTCACTCAGAATGAGTATAACGGTGAGAAGAGGCAGAGGATAACAGTTAAAGCAGTAGCTCCTGTTGATTTTGCTGCTGAGTCAAGAATATTGCTCCAAGACATCTCCAAGAAGAACACAGTATAATTTCATTCCTTCTTCAAGCCTCGAATGTTATATGACTCTTATTTTCCCTTAAAATCCCACAACACTATCCTGATCAGCATGCATAGAACAAAAAGAAAAAAACTATCCTGATCACAAGTCCTTAACCTCCACCAGCATCCAAAAAGAGACAAAACGATAACTGGTTCTTTTACCATTTCTTGCACTAACATTGACGGTTTATTAAACTAGCAGAGAGCTGAGTTCCTCGTTACTCTTTCCCTCTGTGTCTTCCTTGCTTTTCCCATCTCTTTTACACCACCACTATGACTTTACCAAAGGTGTAAGTAGCAAGCTGGCGGTTACGACATGAACGGGTTAAGCGTAGAGGACGGGAGATATTGAAACGAGCAACCATCTCTTGCTTCATTTTCCTTTTGATGGCCCTTTCTTTCTTCTGTTATTTCAAAAGGAATTAAAAACCATGATATAGCAGATGTGCATAAGCATAAAGATTAAAGAACAAACTTGAGGGATGTAGAAAATAGTGGGAAAAGTACTTTATGATATTTCTCAACAACGGGTATAGCATCTGTCTCAATCATCGCGCCGATAGCAGCCAAAGAAGAAGCTTTGTTTGATGATAACTCTCTCTGCAATGACAGCATATCAGTATTAGTAAAAAAAAAAAAAAGGAAATAAAACAATTTGACAAATAAGACTAGATAAGCAGAAACAAAAATCGAAAAAGCTTACAGCAACTCTTTGAAATTCATCTAGATTGGTTGCCTCAGTTTCCCAGCAGAAACAAGATGTATCTGAGCACACATTCTTCTTTGCTTTAGCGCTTTTTGAGGTTTCATTAACTTCCTTAGGGCATGCCCATTAGAAGTTTTTAGGAGAGGTTCACACAATCCCCAAGAAAAAGAAAAGAATATAATAATTGCAAGTGATGAATTCGGTTCGCAGAGTGTCTCCCACGTGAACCCGTATCGTGACTGTTTCACGGGCCCCACGACACGTGGCGGCCCGTGATTGGTTCGTTTCTTAATTTTTTTTTTTTTTTTTTTTTTAGAATAAAGCAGAAAACAGAAAAATAAAATAATCGATAATTGGACGTTACATAACCTCTCGTTTTCTTTGGCGATCTATAGTGCATAGATACAACCTTACGAAATTTCCTGTTTTCCGGCCGACGTCGACTCCGGCGTCGGCTGTACTCTTCTCTACTTTGTTTTTCTTTGTTCTCTGTTTAGTTTTCCAATAACATTAGGCGTAGAATATGTTGATTCATATTCCAATTACCATTCCTCTTGTCTCTTTATACGAGAGTTTTTGTCTGACCATGATTCAACAACAAACTTTGAATTATTGTGTCTGTGTCTTTCCGCTGTCAATATATGTATGCGGTTTCCATTATTTGACTCTTGAAACTTGTTGGTTTCAATCGAGATTAGGTTTTCATCAATGGATTTGGGATCCAGGAATAACCAATTTTGGTCTTATGCACTATGTGTTGGATTTTTGGAAAGATTGCAGTAATTCCATAATGAAAGTGATGAAGATTCTCTACGGTGGGTTTCATAGAGAAGATATAAAGTGGAGGACTTTTGAGTGGAAGGTTATGAAAGATATTAACAAAGTGGGTTGTTCACGAGTCTTAATATCTCTAAAGAGTCATAATCATCATTGTTTCAAGAGGAGTGGAGAACTGCTGAGGCGCTTATATGATGAAGATATGATGAACGTATGGATTTATTGTTTTCAAAGCAAAAGGATTTCAATGCCATGGACAGATTCAACAAGGTATGTTATCTCCTGCAGCGGGAGTGTTTGGGACGGATTGCGATGTAACAGATGGATCGCATCCAATGATCTGTTTCGAAAAAGGCATTTACTCACAAGAATTGAGAGCCACAGAAAAGATCTTACAAGACCAAAAACGATGTGGGGAATAGATAGCGAATCAGCCTTTCCTACGAATGCGTTAGGAAGCATCGTGTTATTGCTATCTCTATTAAAAGTTTTTCTTCACAATATATTTGTTGAAATTTATGTTTCATGTAATCTGTTACATTGATTTGAAATTAATAAAGTTAGAAGTTAAAAAAAAAAAAAAATTATCAAAAGTATTATTTATGAACCCCATCCCTGCAGTTCGCTGATGCAGATGGCCTTATACAATCTGTACCCCAGTGTGTCATTCGACTACCAGTAAGAAGTCTTCAAACCTAGAACAGGAAAAAACAAAGAAAGTTAATCACACCAAATGTCAAATGTTGAAAGAAGTATAGAGGACATGTGATGTAACTACCAGTAAGAAGTCTTATTTCCATCTCCTCCTAACTTCCTTTTGCCGAAACATGGATTCAGGCTGCCTTCATTGGCATTATCTTGAATATACTTATTACGAGCATCATCTTGCTATACCATCCACCAATGGAAACAAACAAACAGAAAAAACTTAATAAATGTAACCAAACCAAAGAGGCACGTATTGATAAGAATCATAAGATATAGTAAACTGCAGGCGATCTTTAAGAGTCAAGTCCTTTGTATCAAGATATTTCCTCCCTAACCAATTAAATGGGCCTTTTATTGGGCCCAAAGTCTCTGTGATAAAGCCCATTACTGGCCCAACTAGGTCACTACAACAACAACCAAAAACCCTTTCGTCTCTCTTGATACACACACCTCGAACTCGCGCCGATTTGCTCAACGCTGCTCAAATTCATCTCTAAAGCCCTAAACTTTACACGGTATTGAAAGAATGGAGGAAGAGAACGAAGTGGTGAAGACGTTCGAAGAGCTAGGCGTGCGTGAGGAGCTCGTCAAAGCTTGCGAAAGATTGGGATGGAACAACCCTACGAAGATTCAAGCTGAAGCCCTTCCTTATGCTCTTGAAGGTAAAGAGTCTTTGAGGCGCCAAAGCTTGAAACTTTCTTTCTTAGTAAATTAGGGTTTTGTTGATTTGAATCTAATTGTAATTCTTTTTTTTTTTTTTCAGGGAAAGATGTAATTGGACTAGCGCAAACCGGTTCTGGTAAAACCGGAGCATTTGCGTTACCTATTTTGCAAGCACTTCTTCAGTATGTGAATGATGCTGAGCCTAAGAAAGGACGTAGACCTGATCCTGCTTTCTTCGCCTGTGTTTTGTCTCCAACTAGGTTTGTTTCTCTTTCCTTAAGTTCCTTCTAATGTTTGGTTTTTTATTGTGTTTTTGGATTTGAGAAAGAGAGAATCAGCATAGATGTGCTAATAGAACCGGGGGAATATGAAGATATATGTGTTTGGAGGGTGCTGCTGGGATGATGATGATGATGATGATGATGATGATGATGATGATGATGATGTCAGTGCAAACTGTTGGGTAGAAGTATATGATATCCATACGGAAACTTGGGAGTTGTTGTGTGTTGTGTCTACACCGCCCAAGAATAAGATGCCCCTCAAAATCAAAGAAAGTATGGCGATGCAGGAGAAGTATGTCTACCTGGTTGCTGAGGATGGCGAAATCTTCTTTTTTCTCAACTAGTGAATGTAGGTTTTGGGCAGCAGGGGGAGTAAAAGAGTCTGACCCAGAAAACAAAAAGGATTGGCGTTTATATGATGAGACATTTATCTGCCGTGGTGATGGGGGGAGAAGACTGTGGCGTTCTCTATATAAATTGGGTTGGAAGGAAGTCAAGGGTTTGGAAGAGCTGCAGAAGCAACACATCATCAAAATCTGCTGCTTCCCTCCTGGTAGGATAGCCATCTTCTGGTCCCAAGGTCCTGCTTATCAGACTTTGGAGCTTTGGTTTGCTGAGGTTTCCCTCAAGGGACTCTGGGAAAGCGAGGACGAATTTCAGGTTTGGGGGAATATTGAGTCGTCCGGTGCTGTCTTCTCAGACTCTTCTATTACTGCTGATTCTCTCTTTCTCTTTCTCTGAACATTGAGTCGTCCGGTGCTGTCTTCTCAGACTCAGACTCTTTCTTTAATTTTACTCTTTTTTTTCTGATGTTCAGAGAGTTAGCAATTCAGATTGCTGAGCAGTTTGAAGCTCTAGGATCTGATATTAGTCTTAGGTGTGCTGTGGTAAGCTGATGGTTTTTTTACCCATCTTTACTTCCCGTAAATTAATATATTGGTGCTACAAATGGATTTTTTTAAACCGTATATGTTTCCTGATTTTTTTTTCACAGCTTGTTGGAGGTATAGACAGGATGCAGCAAACTATTGCTCTTGCGAAACGGCCTCATGTTATTGTATGTTTATTTTTTTTTATGGTTAGTTGTTTGAGTGTATGCAGTTACTTAAACGCGAGGGAATATTGTTTTATAGGTTGCAACACCTGGTCGTCTTTGGGATCATATGTCTGACACTAAAGGCTTTTCTCTAAAGACGTTGAAATATCTGGTAAGTTTAAGCTTTTTTTGTTTTTGTTTTGGTATATAGTCTGTTATTTGTCTCCCATCAGTTTTTAAAATCTACTTCACGTTGTTTGTGGTCAGGTTCTTGATGAAGCAGATAGACTGCTGAATGAAGATTTTGAGAAATCTCTTAACCAGATTTTGGAAGAGATCCCCCGTGACCGTAAAACGTATCTCTTTTCTGCAACTATGACTAAAAAGGTCGGAACCTTACTTGACATTGTTGTTGTTATTGATCGATAGAACTGTCTCTCTCTCTCTCTCTCTGTAATATTTTGTTGATGTGGAAGTGTTACGAACGATCAACTGATTAAAGTGACTGAATATGTTTTGTTCTTGTAGGTTCGGAAACTTCAAAGAGCATGCTTAAGGAATCCTGTGAAGGTACGGAATCACTGAATTAACTTGCAGCTATCATAGTTCCAGTTTATAACATTCATTTATATTTATTGTTTACCTTTAGATTGAGGCTGCCTCCAAATATTCCACAGTTGATACTCTTAAACAGCAATATCGGTTTGTTCCTGCTAAATACAAGGTACCCTATTTGACTATTTCCAGTACAACAGCTTGGTAGATATATAGATAATAGCAAACACATGTGAGACTTTGACTCCTATGAATATAATGAACTTCCAATGCTTTTAACAGGATTGCTACCTTGTGTACATTCTGACTGAAATGCCTGACTCAACATCAATGATTTTCACCCGAACTTGTGATGGTACTCGTTTCATGGCTTTGATGCTTCGGAGCCTTGGTTTTAGAGCCATTCCTATCAGTGGTCAAATGACTCAGGTTCATGACGTTCTCCAGTTTCTAATGATTACATAACTGAGACTTTCTTGAAATTTTCTCATATTTTTTTTTCAAATATCCACAGACAAAGAGATTAGGAGCATTGAATAAGTTCAAAGCAGGGGAGTGTAACATCTTGGTTTGCACGGATGTTGCTAGTAGAGGGCTCGATATTCCATCGGTTGATATGGTTATCAACTACGATATTCCCACAAACTCAAAGGTTAGCTTTTCTTCTCTTGATTTTTTTTCATGACTTTTAGTGATATTAAGAACACACATTCACCGTCCAAGTTATTTGTCATAGGATTACATTCACAGAGTGGGAAGAACCGCTCGTGCTGGACGTTCTGGTGTTGGGATATCACTTGTAAACCAGTATGAGCTCGAATGGTACTTACAAATTGAAAAACTCATAGGTAAGTTAAAAAAATCTACAAGATGCAATTTAGTTTTCATAGGATAAATAAAGACATTTGACTATGTGTCTACTTTCAGGCAAGAAGCTGCCTGAATATCCAGCTGAGGAGGACGAAGTCTTGTCATTGTTGGAGAGAGTTTCAGAAGCCAAAAAATTGTCGGCAATGGTATTTTTTAACTAAGCATAATACTTTTAAAAGGTTAATATTGTTTTTTGCTTCTCTCTTAGATTATGAGTGTTCTTTTGGCAATTAACTGTTGCAGAATATGAAAGAATCAGGAGGTAGGAAAAAGAGAAGAGGAGAAGATGATGAGGAGAGTGAGAGGTTCTTGGATGGTAACAAAGGAGGTAACAGAGACAAGAAATCTTCCAAGAAGTTCAAACGATAAACTGCTTTCTGTTTTCTGATAAACTCACCAAAGTTTTGATTTTCTCTTTTGTATTCGAGAAATTTTCCATGTAAACGTGAAAGCTCTGGACCTATCTGTTTGGTTTGACTCTTAAATTGCCGAAACCTGGTTAGTCTAGCATGCGTTTCCGATTCCCTTACGCAATTAACTAACCAGATAAACCTGTCTACTTTACTTCCTCTGCTCTCACTTTAGCTTAGCAATCTAAGAACATATGTGCATCAAGATCAGAACTTGCCAAAAATAAACTAGAACACAACTTTATAATGGACTTTTATGAAACTGAATGTTTTTGAAGAAAGGTTCCAAAGAAGACTTAAAAGAAAGGATGAAAGGAAAACCAATACGACTAAGCCACATCAAACTCAACTCAAGTAAAGGCAAACAAAAAGAATAGGAAACGTGCAAAACAAAAATTAACAACTATTCTCTCTTATGGAGGCGCCATTAGATGCAAAGTTAAGATGAAGCACCACCGCGAGGCCCACCACGTCCTCCTCCTCCGCTTCCTCTTCCACTGCCTCCATTTTGAGGAGCCCTTTGGTAACCTTCTCCACTGTTCCGAGGATTTGAACTCCTTGGTCTACCGGAAAACTCACCTCCTCTTCCATAGCCACCTCTTCCTCCTCCACCACCACGTCCTCCTTTGAAACTCTCGTTTCTGAAGCTTCCTCTTCCCCCAAAGTACCTACCTCTTCCACCTCCATTGTTGCCTCCTCCTACATAAGATTAAACACATCTTTCATATACACAACTCTTCACTAAAACAGCTTGTTCTTGATGATCAGGTCTCTCATATTTTTGTTACCTCGACTGTTTGTTTTCTTCTCCTCTAAAACAGCTTGACGATCACCAATTGTAACCGGTGAGGCCTACACATGTATCAACCAAAAGAGTCAAGAATTTCACCTCCAACAAAGATACAAGAAGCTTTGTTACAGCTATGGTATTACCTCAAGCGCACTCTGCTTGCCGCTAGCCGTTTCAAACTCCACAAAACCAAAACAGAAACCTTGCTGCTGAGAGTCACAATCAACGTTAGCAAAAGGCGTATTGGTACCTTTTGGAGAAGATTTTTTTGTACATTTATATATATATCAAACCTTATTGCTTCTGACTTGAATCCCCTCATGCTTGATAGGACCAAAGCTCTTGAACACCTCTTCAAGTTGTGTTGGTGTAGTGTCAAAAGGTAAGTTTCGAACATAAATCGAATGACCATCATCTGTCAAGAAACAAAAGAAATCAATATCTGGGACTCTGCATATTCAAGCACAAAAAATGAAAAGGCTGTACAGACCTTCCACATCAACATTGTTACTGTTTGGAACATTCTCGAGACCTGAAGCATCAGGTGCTGCTGCAGACTCAGCAGGAGGAGCAGTTGGCTTCGATTTGGCACTGACAGGAGCTGCTCTTGGTTTGTTCCTAGCAACTTGTGTTGGTGCTGGACCGCTTTTCATCAGTTTGAGCTGTTTGAACACACAAAAAACACTTGTAACATTTACTATAAACAAAAAAAAAATACATCATCACATATGAAGCAGTTAGACTCACGATGGAAGCATATGAATGCTTAGGAGCATCTCCTTGAGGTACTGATAGAGTTTCATTTTGACTTATCTGAGCTGGTGGTTCGATAGGCTCAGCGTCAACAACAACACCTTCATCTTTATCAGAAGGATCATACACCTCCGCCACATTGTCAAGATCTTCCTCCTCAATAGAAGCAACAGGCTCCGGCTCCACCTCAGCCTCGTGACTAACAACAACACGTTCTGACAATAAGCAAGCACATGTTAATATCCTAATCCAAGAAAAATAAGGCTATGGTCGTTTTATCGTACCTGGTTCCACAGGTGCCTGAACATCCCTGGTTGTTCCATTGATGTCGACAGATCTAGCTTGTGTTGTCACCTCTTTTTCCTCAAGGAACCTAAACACATCGTTTAAGACAAAGTATCCCTTGTCTTGTGGAGCCAAGAAGAAAGTCTGACTAAACTTCTTCCTCACATTATCCTTCCCGGTTAAACGTCCTGTCACCAGCACAATGACTCCTCTCTCATGAGACTCCTGAGCATCAGCAGTTTCTATCTCAGCCGTGTAGCCTTCATAGTTCAATGACAGAATCTTCTCATTGATCGCCTGAAAAAAATATACCAAAGTGGAACCAAGTTAGTATAACTCAAAAGTTGGAAGTAAAAATGACTTTGAAAAGTAAAACTCACTTGCATAGTTGTGACAGTAGTCACAGCACCGGTTGCATCTGGTCTGGTTAACAAGCTGGAATCTTGATAGAACCGATGAACTAAACCGGGAGATTGGTGGAGAATGTGATAGTATTGCTCCACAAAGGCACGGCCAACAACCTCTGCGCCAGGGGAAGTGCTAGCCTCCTGCTGTGCCATCTATATATACAGTGAAAGTATATTTATTACTAACAAAATTTATTCTTTATAACCGATTATTCTTAATAATGGATTTTTTTTTTTTAATATCGAATTGAATGTTTATACCCAAAGATTAAAATGATAAAAAAGAACTGCACGATTATATTAAAAATTATATTTATAACGGATAATATATATATACAGTGAAATTATATTTAATATAAAATTATTAACAAAATTTATGGTCTTTATAATGAAATTTTTTTAAATAAAATTGAGTGTTTATACCCAAAAAATTATATGTAGAGATTTTTGTTACTGTTAACTGTACGGATTTGTTGCAATTCAAAGCCAAAATCTACTAAAAGGCCAAAAGGACTTACTACAAATCAACTAAAGTCGTGAAACACAGAAACTCATTTTCTAACATACAAAACATAAGTTGAATTGAGCATATAACAATGATGTATCATTTGATTCTAACCTCAGAGCCATTGTTTCAGATTGATTCAGGGAGAAAAAAAAAACAGAACCTTTTTCTCTGATTTGTTAAATGGATTTGAAACATTTTAATTACTTTTGGTCAAACGATCCCAATTCATTAGAACTCAGATCGAAAAGTCAACGATCTAATACAAAAGTCTTGAGATTTCACTGTTCAAGATGAAACTAAAACCCTAGAATGAATAAAAGAGATCAGAACAGTGTTTACAAGAACAGAACTAATTGAGAAACCGAAAAAACAATACAGTAAAAGAAGTAACCAATGATGTTTTTGTAATAAATGAATCGTGAAGAAAATTAAATGAAAGAAATGGTTTAGATCAAATCTGGATAAATAGAAGTCTTTTATTTAAGACTTCGACCGAATCAAGAAAGATCAAAAAGGAAGAGATCGAAAGAGGAATGTAGTTTTGTACTTACAGTGATTTGAAGGAGAGAGGACAAAGAGAGATCTGCTGCAGGAGATACGAAACAGAGCAAGGACGAGCCAGACAGCGACAGACGGAGAAAATAGAGTGTGAGATGGTACCAAACTAGTACCAAGTTTAAGTTTAGTTTCAGTTAAGTTCAGTTCGGCCCACGAAGACTCAAACTTGGGCTTCTTTTTAATCTCTCGTGTAGTTGCTAAGTTTGGCCCACAAAGATTCAAAGTTGGGCTTCTCTTAAATCTCACAGATCCAAAGTTGGGCTTCTCTTAAAATCTTGTCTCTTTTTTACTTGATCTATGTTTGGTTTCTTAAAATTAAAGATTTATTACAATACGATTTTCCATGACTTGGTGTAGAAATCAGTCTATTTTTGTGATGATTAGTTGAGAGTTGATTGTTGGTGTAAAATATTCAGTGAACCCTGAAGCTGGACTGTGATCTGTGAACAATCATAAAGCCATTATTATTCTTTTTGAAATCTCTCTAGTACAGTCAACTGTTTACATTTTCTATCTATATTTTTTTTTCTGGTTTTCTTTTGTCTATCTCTCTATGCCAAGAGACCAAGACAACTTCTAGAGTTTGTTATATATAATATAAACATAAAATGGAGTTTTCCATGAATATTAAATATATGTGTTGCTTGGTTTGTGAAATTTAGTACAATGGGCTTTTTTTTACAGTTTGTAGCAGCATTGTACTTATTTATTCTATCATTGGATCAGTTTTTGGATGCCAAATAACCTAGTTTAGTCATTAATGGATATGAACTACTTCATATCCAGTACAATGTTTAATATTCTTTGGACTAATGATGATTATGATGTAGCATAAAAGAAAGCTTGGGTTTAAAATTTATCCTAATAGTTGCTGAATTCTCTTCTCATGTCATTCAAGAAACATACGTACAGTCAAAATGAAAATCATCTTTCTTTCTTTTACATCCATAAAAGCTAAAAGATCTTACTATCACTTTAGTTATCTGAGTCTTTTCATATAGAAATTAAGAGATAACTTGATGAATAAATTATTGCTTTGACTAGCTTGTGACTGATTTGGATATATATGGCTGACACTAACCTGTGAGTGTCTTACTCATTTAACATCTCTGGGAGTTGAATACTTCAAAGATCAAAGATGCTATTGAGAATATTGGAGGAGCAAACGAATGCCTTAATTTATGTATAACTGTTTTCTGATATTAAAAGCCAGTGATCTCAGCCATTCCATTGCATTAGCATTGTGAAAGTTCAATGCACTGAGTACTTTTTAAGTCATGGGATAGCTTTATTTTCAAGGTCAAAGCTGAGAAAACATTATCTGCAATAATTTTTCTTACTCAATGTTATGTCCCCTTTGCTTATTGCTCTCTCCAGACATTAAAGGCACTTCAAATCTTCCCCTTTTGTCTCCTCCAAATCCTCCAACTCGAGGCTATTACACTTCCTGACAAAGATTAGAATCCCAATGAACCTCACAAATTCAACAAATAGAATCAAGTAAATCAATTTGTCTACCTTATGGGTACGTCCTTTACTTTCCATATAAGATTAAAAGCCAATCCTTGTCTTGGAATATAAAAACCTTATATATATGTTTTTGTCTTATATGAAAACCCGTGATACGTATAATATTATTTTATCTCCAAATATGATGAATTATTTTGATGTGTAACAGTAAAACACTGAGAGAAACGGGTAGTTTCATCAGTGTTTTATAGTGCAGACACCTTTACTGCATCAATAATACAAAAAGAGCAAGAACAGTAATTTATTATGTCAGTATGTATATATATACATATGGGTTTGACCGTTTGAGTACTAGCAATGCATGTAGTAAATTAACCCAATTTACTTTTTGGTGGTTTACTGGTTTTTACTCCTTTTTGTGTTGTTTCTTGCAAGGACATGTCATTTTCTGTTTCAGCATGATCCTTCTACATTTACTGACGTTCAGACCCGAAAACGACGGTTCAGAACCAAAAGACAAAAGGAAGAAGAAGACGTTACTTAGGCCATCGTGTACTGTAGTAGATAATGAACGACACCGTTCTCAGCTCTTTACATGGTGTTTTCTTATAGACGAAATAAATAAAGGAGTTGTGGTTGTTATATGATTCGTTGATATCACAGAATGAAAACTTGGATATTTTTTATATCATTTGATTCTGGTATCTAGTTCGAGTTGTGATGGCGATGGCTTAAGACCAACTTGTCTAGTTTTTTTTTTCGTTTGCATATTTGGAAAATTACAAAATCTGGATATGTTTATATCATTCTATATTTAGCTATGTTAACTACATTAATGGTTGATTAATTGTTAGCCAAATCGTGAAGATATTCAAGTAAATAATTCTACATGGGCTAACCAAAATGTCAGTTGCATTCGTATATAGTTATGCTACTTCGTTAAACATTATCTTAGATCATAGCTGGATGTCTATGATATTATATAATCACATCTTTTTTATGATGCCCATAGAACTGTTTATCGGTTTTTAATTGTTACAAAAAAAATTTTTTGCTAAAATTTGGTGACAAAAAATAAACTTGCTCATGGTTAAATAACAAGATCCTGGAGATACTATATAAAAAAAATTATATTTTGAAATAAACCATAGACGACAAAAAGGAGGTAAATGTATCATATAAAAATACATTTATATTGTTATTTCTGAACTCTTAAAAAAAATTATTAGAGCATGTTATTTGTTTAAAAGTTGTGCTAAACACTTTGTACTAGACCACAGTTCCGTAATTTTCTTTTTGTCATCAACCATAATTCCGTAATTAAATTGATTGGCATAAAAAATTATGTGTATAATATTTTTTTGGCTAAGTATTATGAGTATAATATAGTTTCCTCAATTTAAATCATTCTCCTAACAAATATATAATAGAGGGAGGAGGAAGAATAAAACTGCTTTTATTGACCTAAAATGTCTTGATAATTAAAGACAACTGTTATGTGTGTTTGGATGCAAAGCCATATAGTCAGTTCACACATTGAAAGACAAAACTGCCAATTCCCTAGCGAGTATATGATGGCTATCACTAAGTCATCATCAAATACACATTCGCTCATCTAATTAAACCCTAACGATTGTCTTAAGAAAGAACATACTAATTTGTTGCTCCAAAAAAAAAAAAGAACATACTAATTTTCACCTGGAGTTGATACCTCTAAGACTAAAGCCTTTTGCCCTAAGGGTAGAGGTATCAAGTTTGAGTCTCAACAGCTGCCGGAGAGTAGATTTAACAACTGACTCTTATCTCTAGTCCAATGAGATTAGGAGATTCGGACTAGAACTGTTTGCAATAAAAAAGGTTCCCAGCGTTGTTGTTCTAAATGGTCAATGGATGACTGAAACACTTTGTAGTTTTTTTTTTTTTGAAACACTGTAGTTTCTTATATCACTCAATTGGGTCAATATGGATATACAGTCAATGATGTGCTAGTTTGAATATACAGTTAATATGGCCGGTTAGTAGATTACAAATCATATCTATATTCATAAATCATATAAAAATATATAAATATACAGTTTTGTGGCGCTATGACAATTATGTAAGAACAAAACAGATTCTCTTTTTCTAGGTTTTACGCCATTATGATCATTATGAGAAGTTCATTTTTATTGGTGGTAAGATACGGTTAACTAGTGCCATTTTTGTTCAGCCACCATCATTATAGGCATGCGACCACATATTGGCCTTTTCTTCTCCGACATCCCCAACATTTCTCTTTCAATAATCATTTCAAATTCCGCTGTATGAGAAATCCCAAAAAGACAATAATTTTGAAGAATAGTACACATATGCAGGTATGTAAACATTCCGTTCTTATAATGGTTAAATTAATAAATGTATTGTGACTTAGGGTTTCTAATGCCCAGCTTGCTATATACTTATTTTGAGAAATCATGGAATGTAAAAAACAACCTGGCTATTAAAAATGCACATGGGGAAGCAGACTGAATCTCAAAATTTTGATAAAATTCAGCCAAAAATCAGAAATGTCAAACATATACATGTAAAACGCATATGGATCACAAGATCCTACATGGTCGAAACTCGGAGCAATTTAAGCCCAGAAGCTCAAGTCCCATCATCATTCATCTCTACATCTTCTGCTTCAATTTTTTTGTGTCCATATAAACTTTCCATACCCATACGTATATTTATACTGACCTAAGGAATTCATTTACTTTTTGTCAACATGATGATTGGGTTTACGTGAAGGAAATTCTTTAAAATAAATCTTAGGAAATTAGGTGTATAGAAAATGCAGGAACAGCTTTTATGGAGATGTTTTTATCAGAAAACTTTTTCGAAGATGCGTGGTACAAACTACGAACTATTGCAATTAATTATACGTGGAAGTAGCTTACCGTAGATTATACACATAGTCCGATGCAAAGTCCTACATTTTCCGTAAGACCGTAACTCATACATAATAAAAATTCCTACAAACTCGCTAGAATAATTTGTGATATCAAAATATATAAAAAAACTATAGAAAGTTCACTACTTTATCATTCCTTAACTTAATAATCTATGCAATTGGTGCGAGATGAAGAAACACCAGACTTTAACTGGATATATTATGTACGACGTTTTGTACAATACTCTTTTAGTTTTTTTCTTCTTCTAAATGAAATTTATGCGATATGTATTTAACGAAATATAAATTTTAAATACGATATTTATTCAAATAAAAAGTGTTAGTAATCTTTTGTTGCAAATGCTTTGAAGACCTAAATACAGATTTTGTTTGTAGAATTTCCTTGAAACACACAATGGGAAAAATTCTACAAGAAAATGGTCGCAAATAAACAATGATATTCTTTCATATATTTATATATTTAAATATGAACTAAGCAAATAGATAACGTTTTTTAATTAACAATAAAAGTATAATAGTGGAGAGAGTTTAATTCAACTTTCAACTATTTAGTCTATTTTCTATGTATTAATTTAAAATAAGGTATTTTTTTCTATAAAAAAGTCCGTCATAAACATACAACAAATTATGTTATTGAATTTGATCACATGATTATGAATATATTATATTATAGGCAATTCTGAATTTGAAACCATGTGTCAATAACGCAATATTCTTGATTCGTAACCATTGCGTTAAATGGGCGGTCAATTATAGAAGACTTTATAGTAGCTAGTGATCAACTTGGATACTGAGAACAAAAAAAAAGCGTGCTTGTGGGCAAAAATCTCAGTGGCAAAGACGCAGAGAAGAAGAAGTGGTCCACATATCTCTTTGAGTATTTAAGCATTAGATGCTTTCAAGAAAAACCTATACTCTTTGGTCCATTCTCTATGTAAGAGAGAGACCCTTACCTCCTCTAGCTGTCAATCTATAATTGTTACATAGTTATACGTTTTAATATACAACCCGCAAGTTATATTTTTGTTAGAATTAAAAGCATTCTCAAAACTCAACAATATGATTAACAATTCTAACTTCATCGCTAAATTCAGTTAGGTTTCAACAAGTTGTTTCGTTAATATACAGTATAATTTAGACAATTTTTATCACAAACTTTTATATTATTGTAGTTTTTTAATAATTTAAATCTGTAAACGCTTTTTCGCAAGAATTTCCAAACGCTTGTAAAAGTTCCTAACCGCTTGCTTTCCTAAAGTGAATTAAATCTTATGCTATAATTCTTTGTTACCAGTCAAACTAGAGATTAATATATATAACAAAGAAGACAACATTAATTAAATCAAAATCAAAGTGAAACACACGAATGGGAACCGAAAATGAAATACTAAAATATTTTTAAAATTTATTGTAAAGGTTACATATAAAATTCTTATATGACATGAGTGTTAGACGAAAACATGGACATACCCATCAGCGTATCAATACACTACATAAATTGCTCCACTTTTGTCCTTGTGCATAAATTCCTTTCATACCAAAATAAAACCCTAGAAATTGGAATATCAAATATACAATATATATCTAAAATTCATTTATTATTTAACTTTCCCCAATCATTAATAATATATACATAAAATTCGAGTTACCAAAAAAAGTAATACTTCACATAGTTCATCCTCTGCCTTCTTATCTCTTCTTTCTTCTTCTTCTTCCTTCTTCTAGACCCAACAAGATCTTAAACTATAGGAATTAAAGCTTATACAAGTCTTCAATCGATGTAAGAACTTGTGAAATAACTTTGCTTGAATTTTAAAGTCTTTTTGAACTTCCAATTCTTAGATGCAGTCCCAAGAAAGATATCATGAATCAAATCTATTTTTCTTTGTTGTCATGTGAATTTTTCTCCTAAATATTTGAAGAAAGTAACAATTACATAACTTTACCTTAATTTCTTTCCATAATTAGAAGCTACAAGAAGTAATTATTTTCTTTTATGTTGATTTTCTTGTTTTCAGATCTGTTTTTCATAAGAAAAGATCAATTAATAGAGATGAGATCAAGAGAATGCAATGAAGATGAGATTCAAGCAAAGCAAGAAGGAGAGAATAATGAAAATCAAGTAAACTTAAACAACATGATGCAGCAGCAGAATCAGCCAGTGTCATCATCTAGGCAATGGACTTCGGCTTTTAGAAACCCAAGAATAGTTCGAGTCTCGAGAACGTTTGGTGGCAAAGACAGACACAGCAAAGTCTGCACAGTCCGTGGCCTTAGAGACCGGAGGATAAGGTTGTCCGTACCAACAGCTATTCAACTTTACGACCTTCAAGACCGATTAGGGCTGAGTCAGCCAAGTAAAGTCGTTGATTGGTTACTCGAAGCAGCAAAAGATGACGTCGACAAGCTTCCTCCGTTACAGTTTCCACATGGGTTTAACCAAATGTATCCAAATCTTTTCTTTCCAAACTCAGGAATAGGAGAATCATCATCATCGTCAACATCAGCTTTTCCAGGTACTAATCTTGGTTTCTTGGAGAGTTATAATGATCTTGGTGGCTCTTCTTCAAGAACAAGATCAAGAATCCAAGAAACACCTAGAGAGAGTTTTGATCTTGATAAAGGGAAATGGATCAAACACGATCATCATCATCAAGATCATGGGTTCGACACCAATCATCAACATTTCTCTTTGACGAATCCTTACAACAACAACAACAATACTTCATCTTATTACAACCTTGGACATCTTCAACACTCGTTAGACCAGTCTGGTAATAACGTTACTGTCGCAATATCCAATGTTCCTAGTAATAATAACAATCTCAATATGCCTCCACCCTCGTCTGCTGGAGACGGATCTCAGCTGTTTTTTGGTCCTCCTCCTCCGGCAATGAGCTCTCTATTTCCTACGTACCCATCTTTCCTTGGAGCTTCTCAACATCAACATCATCATGTCGTTGATGGAGCTGGAAATCTTCAGCTATTTAGCTCCAATGCTAACACAGCGTCGCAGCAACAGATGATGACGGGTAACTCTAGTTTGATTAGACCGTTTCATCATTTGATGAGCTCGAATCAAGATACGGATCGTCATAGTAGTGACAATGATTCAGATTCGTGATAGATTCATATGATCTTATACTATACATCACATATGTTATATGCATACGTATTTTTCTATATTATTTTTATATATTTGCTTATTGTTGGATTTGGTTTTTGTTTTAATTCATCTTGTATGTATATAGAGTTTTAATAATCTGATAAATCTCTGATTTGGATTCGAACAAAGATATTCGTAATGCGAGCTAGGCTGGTGTTTTATGCTTATATATATATTTGGTTATAATTATATATATTTTAAATCTTGATATGTCTTGTTAGTTTTTTCTTGCTTTTGAAATTCTATGAATTTTCCTTGTTAGTCTTCTGTATTCAATATGCATTACTCAAGTAAAAGGGATAGTAGGTTTGTCAGAAATATATTAAAAATTTAGAGGGATTTTTAACATAATATATAGTCTCGCATCATGTAAAATTTCGGTTAGTAATTATATGTGATTAGTTAGGGTTTGAGTTTTAGAAATATGGAAAGTACTTGTTAGCATTTGATTCCACATCCATCTCTTAGGAAAACGATTTTAAAATAGAAAATAAAGGCACACACAGTTTATATGGATTCACTCTCAACATAAAAAGTATGTCTATAGATTTTATCATAACAGGTCGTTTAAGTTTATTTTTGTGCTTCTCTCGCTAACAAAAATGATAAACGACAATACTACTAGCATTCATCTTAAAATTCTAATGAATCAGCGTACAGATTAGTCGTCGGAACATGCATCAGTTTCAAGAGATTAGGCTTCACTACTCGAATATTATTTAAAAGCATTAAAATTTCATTTCAGTTTAATATAACTAAGATATATATTATTCAAAATTTCAATTAATTGGAAATGTTACTAAAACAAACAATGCGGAAATTTTGAATTTTGAAAATAATAATAAAAGCTTGATCGTTCTTTGAATAGTCACTGTTTGAATTCAGTTGAATATATATAAATTTGCTTTTCTCGTTAACTACTAAAATTATACCGTACACTAATGCTGAATATTATTGTAGTTGAATATCTAATAAACTTATGTTGTGCACAATTCAAATGGAAATAAATTGAAGGGGTCATTGCTTGTCATGTGTCAGAAAAAGAACACCAATAAGTTTCCAATAATTGTATGTCCCCCATTATACATTTTCTTAAAACAACTACGTGTATTTGGACGGCAAATATTTCGAATGTATTAATAAAATGATTAATAAAATACAAATGTGTGTGTGTTTTTTTTTAAATAAAATACATATGTGTTATGTGTATATGCATGATCTACGTATAGATACAAAATTAGAAGTATAGATAGGTTCTTGTTCACAGTGCCTAGGCGCACGGCAATATGCCAAACCCTAGCCTCGTGTGTAAATATGCGTCACACGTATATATACTTAAGTGAATATTTACTAATGGAGTGTGTATTTATATATATAATATTAGTAAGGCAAACTAGTTGAGATTGTTAGCTAGCGTTTTCCACATCTCCGTAATTGCTGACTTTTTATCTATTCCTCAAGAGAGAGTTCCAAATGTTAGGCATGGTGGTATTTAGCCGACACTCGACTGATTACAATAAGAGAGGTAATAAATGTTATGGAATTATACTCATAAGTACATTCACATTCACGTGTTTGTGACTGTGTGTGTGAGGAAGAGGGATTATATTTGGGTGGACGAAATCCAGAGAGCATAAAACAACCGTAAAAATGTATTCGCAGCATGCTTATTATTAATAAAATGGTTCAAAATTTTGTGTAGTTTTTCCAAGTAAAACTCTGCAAATTTTCACGTAATAAACTTCTTTTACAAGACTAACAGTATAAACTAATAAGAAAAACAACACATTGAGGAGCTATGCAAAAACAATATTCTTTGTACGTAAGACAAATATAAAAACGTTTAGTTTTACGACTGTGTATAAGTACATTAAAGTGGTCATTTAGGTTACACAATACTAAAACCATTCAAAAATCATACGTACAATACACAAATTAAGTCCAAACTTAGGAAGTTTTGAGGGGATCGGATGATCTGGCACACGGGTCACGAACAAGAATCCCTTTACTTATCACATTATATACAGTGAAACTTCTATAAATTAATAATGTTGAGATTACATCAAAATTATAATTTTTATTAATTTATAAAGATTATTAATTTATCGATTTATTAATTGAACCAACAATTCATTTTAGAACTATAAATTTATATTATTTATAGAGATTTTTAGTGCATATTAATTTATAGTATGTTAATTTAAAGAGATTATACTGTATAAATCGTAATCAAATAACACATTCACAAATGTGTACACTAGAAACATTTGTTTCTCTATGTATATATAGGACTTATTTCACTGAAGAACCTATGGCTTTTTTTCTGGTCAAAGAACCTATGGTTTATAACCTTGACAAATATGATATGATCCCAACCTCTTTACAACCTTAAGTTCTTGGTTCATAATAATATATACCACCAAAACCAAATCAAATAAATATAAGGGCTTTTTGCATAATTGACCTGAAACTTGAAGTCAACCACAAAACTAACCTCCTTTTTTTTTGGAACTTTATTTTGTCCAATTCACCCCACAAGTTCATATAATTCACGAAAATGCCATCAATTTGTTTTTTTATTTTTTTTTTCGAAAATGACATATTTACTCTCTCACCCTCATCATCTTCAAGTAATTACAA